GCCAACTAGTGGTCAGAGGCTGAACTACAACACAAAAATGAACGGCTGGCAGGAAAGTTGACATTTTAAACCTTAATTAAAAATCGATACAGGGCTTTAGAATATTGATACAGTTTGAGGAAATGAAATATTGCGATATTTCAGTGTATCAATATTTTCTTAYACCCCTACTGTTGACGCAATGCAGTACAATGTGAATAAAATACTATATTATAAACTTTATTTAAATCTGTCGTAGATTCATTATTGTTTGAATAGATGCATTCACAAAATACTTCAAAGAGGTACAAGTACCACTGTTAGTACTCAATATTTTTTATGCCAACTATTTAAACCAGGGAAGGGCAACTGGAGGGCTGCGGGCCACTTCCAGCCTCGGAGGAGTGTGCAGCGCTATGTGGCCCTCTTGTAGTGTCAACTGAAAATTGTGGCTCCCTCCATCATTTAAATTGTCCATCCCTGATTTGAACTGTGATGAATCTAAAAAGTACAAACTGCCATAATGTTTTAGCGTTTTAGAGCCACTTTATGAAAGCAATTCTACAGTGCAAACATGCTCCACCAGTACGATGAAGCACCAGTCACCACTTCAACAGGTACACAAATAAAAGGAAAATACCAGGATTGCCATTGTTGTTGTTTTTTCCAGAGTTGTGCTGAACAAGGCAGATCAGATCGAAACCCAGCAGCTGATGAGAGTGTACGGTGCCTTAATGTGGTCCCTGGGCAAAATAGTCAACACGCCTGAGGTAAAAAAAAAAAAAGATCAACTTACTAAAAGTGTTTCACCTGATGACTCAGCTTTTTAACCCCCCTTTGACTGACAGGTGATTCGCGTGTACATCGGCTCATTCTGGTCCCACCCGCTGCTGATTCCTGACAACAGGAAGCTGTTTGAAGCAGAAGAGCAGGATTTATTCAAGGACATTCAGTCCTTACCGAGAAACGCGGCCCTTCGAAAACTCAACGATCTGATCAAGAGAGCGAGGCTAGCCAAGGTAGGACACATCTAGAAATGACGGGAACGCGTTAAAGACAGGTGATGCTGTGTCTCAGGTCGTCTTTTAAAAGACATCTTGTTTTGTTGGCACCATTGCGCGTGCTGAATATTTATGCCACATGGCGGCGAGCTAAAAYAGTGGGACTCCTGCTGACGTCTTTAAATGTCAGCRTGCGTTTCCTCTGCATCACTTTTCYAGCTGTTGACCTTGTCGGCAGAAACTTATCACTGTCACCAAACCTTCGGTGCCGGACAGACGTGGTTCTTCTGCTCTGAGTGAAATATGTGCCACTTCCTCCCTGAACAGGAGGTCAGGTAGGGGAGGCGGCAGACTGCCGCTTGTTGAGGAAATGATGCGTGTGCACACCCTAAAACACACACAAACAAGCACACACACGCACAAACACACCGATTATCAGAGTTGGGAGAAGTGTTTTGTTTGACAGCTGATGGGCTGTGTGTAGTTCAAGGACACCAGGTGGATACAGGAAAACATACAAGTATCAACAACGAAACAAAACAAGTTCTTGTCGTTTTATTTACATTTTTKATACATCTGAAAATACAAAGTTCCATTAGTTTTTCTATTTTGTTGAAAACAATCAAATAATCACTTATAAAACAATAATTATTTCAAACCATCAGACATTAATTGGACCTTATTTACTGTAATGTTTTGCTTACATCATGAGGTATGTTTATTGATTTATGTTCTTTTTTTTTCTCATTCATTTTAATATTAACATACCTTTGTAAAATGAAGGTCATTGTAACACAGCCACCTGTAAATGATTTAGAGCCTCGCCTTCTTGGCTTTGAGTTTTTATGACTTTGCACCCAAAGGCTTTTTTTTTTCTGTTTGTTGTAACTTTTTGTTTTTCGGTTCTTTGGACCATGATGTCTCAGGGGTTCCTGGTGTTTACATGGTCATTTAGACCTAAATGATTCTAGACAGAATAAATTTCCCACAGAAATGCCGCTTACTGGATATTTTCTCTTTTTTCGAACACTTCTCTGTAAAAAAAAAAACAAAAAAAAAATTGTATAGGTCTTCTGGACGGGTTCTTCTCTAATGAAACGTTTCGTCTCTCCTCCAAGAGACCCCACACAGACCAATATTTATGTTTTGACTCCCACCACCCACTGGAACACAAGTTAGGAGTGATCAGGACTCTGTACCACAGAGCAGACAGTRTCCCTACAAACCCAGGAGCCAGGCAGAAAGAGAAATCACACACACGACAGGCCCTGGAGCAGTGTGGTTATCCTGACTGGGCTTTCCTGAAAGCAGACAGGAAACACAGACAGGATTCCATGCAACCTTCAGGTGAAAATGAAGACCCCAAACCCAGACCCAAACCAGTGGTTATTCCGTATGTTGCGGGTGTTTCGGAGAAACTGAGACGTTTATTTTCTAAACATGATGTCCCAGTGGCTTTCAAACCCCAAAACACATTACGGCAAAGGCTGGTTCACCCCAAAGATCCGGTGCCCCGGCACAAACAGAGCAATGTYRTATATGCTGTKAAGTGCCAGGAGGACTGCGACCAGTTATACATCGGGGAAACAAAGCAGCCACTGTTCAAAAGAATGTCCCAACACAGACGAGCTACATCTAATGGCCAGAACTCTGCAGTTTTCACTCATTTACAGGCCAGCGGTCACTCTTTCAGAGATGAGGATGTTCTCATTCTTGATAGAGAGGAACSTTGGTTTGAGAGAGGAGTAAAAGAAGCCATTTTTGTGAAGAAAGACCGTCCATCATTAAGCAGAGGTGGAGGCCTCCGTTTTCAGTTGTCCCCCTCTTACAGCGCTGCTATTGCCAGTATCACTCCACCCCCTGTTAACAACAGGTGTTAATTAGGTGTCAACGATAGCCATGTGATGTGAGTATCAGTCACATGGAGGCAGGGCTTAAAAGCCTGAATTTTGCCTGAAACTCTGACTGAAGAAGTCTCTTGGAGGAGAGACGAAACGTTTCATTAGAGAAGAACCCGTCCAGARGACCTATACAATTTTTTTTCTTTTTGATTTTTTACCTGGATTACTGAGATGCATCAGGACTTCTCTGTAAACCCTAGAGATGGTTGTGCGTGAAAATCCCAGTAGATCAGCAGTTTGTGAAATACTCAGACCAGCCTGTCTGGCACCAGCAAACATGCCACGTTCAAAGTCACTTAAATCCCCTTTCTTCCACATTCTGATGCTCGGTTTGATCGTCTTGGCCTTGTCTACATGCCTAAATGCATTGAGTTGCTGTCATGTGATTTGACATTTGCATTAATGAGCAGTTGGAAAGGTGTACCTAATAAAGTGGCCAATGAGTGTTTGTTTTATTACCTTTTAAAATAGTTTAGACTGTGTAAAAAGGTTATTCTGTTTCATTTATTTATTGTTTATTTATATAGTGACAAGTATCAAGTGTACACTTAAACATTTATAGCCTAGATTAATTGTCAAAGCTAGTCCCCAAATGTGCCTTTAGCATCTTAAAAATAAAACCGTTTTAAACACGGTTTAAGAAGAATAAAACATTAAGACAATTCATTACACAGAACAATTTATCAACAACAAATTATAAACAATATCTTACATGCTGTAGCAATTCACTTTGGTTTTGGCCCCGAATGCTTTAGCTAGTTCACGCRGAACTAAACTCTTTTACTGAATCAGCATTCATTCTATAAACTTCCACCAGTAACCATAAAGTTAAACAAAGCGTTTATAAATTGTAGTCCACTTGTAAAAAAAGCACAATGTGAATGCAAACCGCATCAAATAAAAAAAATTACGTTTGTTTTTGGTCCGGACCAAAYGAGGATCAAGTGACTTTCCTGGTAAATACACCCTAAGACTGTAGCTCTAATTTCTTGACGTTTAAAGAAACTCATTTGAAATATTATTTTTCCCGTGAATACGTTTAAAAACAACTTCATGTCTTCCATCTGTAGGTTCATGCCTACATCATCAGCTCTCTGAAGAAAGAAATGCCCTCAGTGTTCGGGAAGGAGAACAAGAAGAAAGAGCTGATTGGTACTCTGGGAGACATCTACAAACGCATTGAGAGAGAGCATCAGATATCACCGGGGGATTTTCCTAATCTGAAGAAGATGCAGGTAAACACAAAATGGAGCAGAGGAATTTTAGATTTGTGGTTGATGTTTTGATTAAAAGATCATTTGTGGTTGATTTTGTTTTTCAGGACCAGCTTCAAGCTCAAGATCTCACCCGGTTCCAGCCTCTCAAACCCAAACTCTTGGAGGCGGTCGATGACATGCTAGCCAACGACATCGCCAGCTTGATGGTTCTGGTGCGCCAGGAGGAAACCCAGCATCCCAACTCGGCGGTGAAAGGAGGAGCATTTGACGGCACTTTAAACGGCCCGTTCGGTCACGGGTACGGCGAAGGGGCCGGCGAGGGCATCGACGAGGCCGAGTGGGTTGTCGCTCGCGACAAACCCGCTTACGACGAGATTTTCTACACGCTGTCTCCCGTCAACGGGAAGGTGTCGGGAGCCAACGCCAAGAAGGAGATGGTGAAATCCAAACTGCCCAACACAGTCCTGGGAAAGATCTGGAAGTTGGCCGACATCGATAAGGACGGGATGCTCGACGACGAGGAGTTTGCTTTGGCCAATCACCTAATCAAGGTGAAACTGGAAGGACATGAACTCCCATCAGAGCTGCCTGCACACCTCATACCTCCATCCAAGAGAAAATTATCTGAATAAAAGGAGATTGTTGTATAAACTGCCCTTTAAGCTTATGGATAGTCCCCCCCACCTCATCTCTAGAAAAAACTCTCCCTGCACAGTGAAAACATACACATATAAACTAATTCTAATGCCRTCTAGTCCTGTTTCTCTAATCACAATATCTGTAGTCTTAGAAACATTACAAACTAATAAACACTAAACTCTCATCCTACTAGCTTGAATTTAGCACTTGTGTTAAATCAGACATCACAGTACTGATTAATAGTCTCTTTTAAAGTTAACAAAAGCCTTTCATAGGTTTGTAATATTTTACAAAACAGCTCAGAAAGTTGTTTTAATGTCTGACGTAGGACAGAAGTTAAACAGGTCAGAAACAGAAACACTGGAACTTGAGCAAAAAGCTACTGGAACAAAACAAAACACTGAATGGATAAAAGAGAAAAACAACAAACTTTACCTATAATAAGAACAAAAAATGGTGTTTTTGTGCACACAGTGACAATGAACTGCAGGATTCCACATGCGGTCCAGCCATTCTTTAGTTTCGTCTTCCTGGTGCAGACATGCAGTCTGGTCTTTATGTAAGGATGACAAGAGCTGCTGGAAGGCAGGAGAATACATAAACACAGAAAAGGCAATTTCATTATAAATTGTACAACCAGTTATCATGAAATAATGAATAAGTTTTTAATGAGTTTGAATTTGTGCTGCGGCTGATATGGCATCACTATAATTTACCGCTGCACCAGGATGGACCTTCGATCTCTGATCCATAAACKGTTCTTAATCTCATTAACATGTATTGATACTGTGACTATAATACCAGACTATATTCTGAATATTGTTTGGAATTTGAATGTTTATTGTGCAGATGTCCTGTGTACTCATGCATTCTGAACACGTCTGTGCTAAATATCTGTATGTATTCAATTGTTATCCAAGCTTTCAATGTGCTTTTATTTTGAAAATGTTTAGTTATTTTTAAGTAATCTCATATGAACTAAGATGCTAGCCTAAAAACTAAAAAGTTTGCTTTATCCTTTTTTTTTTCTTTTGTAGTGGCACTGACTAAAATATTTTTTAAATGCTTATCTATTTCACTTGTCTGAAAAACAGAAGTGTAAATGTTATGTTACTTTTAGGTTTATGCCAGTAAATGTAGTGATATATCCATCAAATATGAGATAAAACATACCTAAGATTTCATTTGAAATGTTAAACATGGGTGAGTACAAGTGTTGCAGAAAGGATATATCTCCAGTTATCAGCCTTTTTTTTTTTTGGTTTGTGTTTCTGTGTTCTGCAGTAAATCTAATGTAAAGATTAAATGCATTCCACGAGTACAGATTAAGGCAGACATTGAGAGTTCACCTCCCCTAAGATAAAGTTTGAGGAGCAGAATACGACACCACAATCCATCTTTTTGATTTTAGTTGAATTCCTGGACGCTGATATGATTGTGATTAAGTTTAAGCTCATCAACACGTATCAGGTCAGCCAGGATAACAAACTGACCAACATGTCTGTAGAACGTTTTCTATTCTTTATTAGTTTCTGACTGTGATTACAAAAGAAAAGTCCAATTCCTGCAGAACATTTATTCTCTGCAGATTAATTTGCATTTGCTGAAACAGTTGTAAACTTGGCTTCCACACAGAAAATCTGCAGTCGTCTCCATCATCCTGCATGCTGTACTCATTACTGTTTCATCAGAGCTTTTTGGTAAAAACGTGGAAGAGATGCTTGTTGAGTGTGGGTTGCAAAACCGGAGTTGTTTTCATGCGTTCACAGATTACAACATGAGTTCTGTGGTGGGKAAGTGAAGTGGAAGAACTGGCGTGCAAGTGTTGCTTTGTTTGTTTTACTGTCAGAATAAAAGTCATTTATTCAACTCACTAAACTTTGACTTTAATTTACTGAAGGAAAAAAGAACTAAATTTCTCAAAGCTCAGAGTTCACATGTAAGTGCTTACAGATTAAACTGACGTTAAATCTGCGTTTTCTGATTGATTCCCATTACGACAMCTTCTTTAAAAAAAACTATTTTGATCAAGATTGTCAGGAAATGGTCCCCCTTATGTCTGCCTTTGGTCTTGGGGGTCGGGTCTGTGGTCCTCCACAGTCACTATTACATATTCCACTGGAGAAATCTTGTATGTGTGTGTGTG